TTTTATTCAGGTACAAGCTCTCCCTCCTCTTTGAGGACAGATCTGCATGTCCCCCCCCCCCAATAGCTGGCAATCCAAAACAGTCCAGTGGAGCCTGAGCGGTGGGTGTTGCCTTCTGACACACTTCCGGTGATGTCAGGGGGTGTGGCATATGCAAATAAATTATGCTAATGAGCCCCTGCACCTCTTTTTCCACGAAATGACCCCTGCCGACCTCAAGTTCGGAATGGAGCACTTCAATTAATTCGGAGGAGGAGGCGGGACTGTTATAGGACGAGAGAGGAAACGGCCTGCTTTATCCTGACTGACAATTCATCGATCCATCAAGCTTTAGTACGCTGCATCCCTGACGAGAGGTTTAAAGCTGTGGTTTTATGGCACCCCGGGAATTTCTCGGGCCGTTAATGGGAAAAGTTATGGGCCCATCTCTGGCTTTTTATCATTCCCAGTGTGTATTAGCAGTCGGCTCCTCCTGGATAGCTGGTTAAATGCTGCCAGGTGGGCCGTGCGGGGCTTTCCCGCGGGCGACGGGCCGAGGCTTACTTTTGATGAACTCCCACAGAGTCAGATCCTGAGGTCTCCCTTTCTGCTCCTCTAGCAGGTTGCTCTTGCTCGGTTCCGCAATCGCCTTGCGTGGGTCTTCTTTCTAGAAGGAGGCGAGAGGTCATTTCCTGCGGGAGCGCACAAGAGCGGAGCTCCGGCAGTAAAGAGCCCAGGGGGCGGGTACATCAACAAGCCCCACTGCCGGCTCCCAGCAGTCAGAGCAAGAAGCAGCCAGGTAAGTTGCAGAACCCCAAAAAAGTCCAGTGGCACCTTTAAGACCAAGTTTTATTCAGGTACAAGCTCTCCCTCCTCTGTGAGGACAGATCTGCATGTCCCCCCCCCCAATAGCTAGCGATTAAAAACAGTCCAGTGGAGCCTGAGCGGTGGGTGTTGCCTTCTGACACACTTCTGGTGATGTCAGGGGGTGTGGCATATGCAAATAAGTTATGCTAATGAGTAATGCTAATGAGCTCCAGCATCTCTTTTTCTACGAAATGACCCCTGATAAGAACTGTTAAATAGTGGGGTTCCACGGATGAGCGGGCTCCAGTCCAGTGAGCTGCTCAACTTTATTTGTGATTTCAGCAAGAGCAAGATGAGACCCCAGAGCTGCGGCTCTCTTAAATAGCCTGCAGTTGCCACACCCAAACACACCCCACTCCCAGGGGCGGATGAAGGCTCACTGGTGCCCGAAGCACTGACCAATCTTGGTGCCCCCCTCCTTTCCACACTGACCCCCAGTCCATTTTAGCTGTTGACCTGTCTGACCAGAGATGCAATGCAGGTTGCGGCAATACCAAAAATGTATTCATATGATAACACAATATACTGTACAAACTAAGCCAAGCTTGGGATACATAAAGTTCTACAAAAATGCAATGCAACATCTATTTTAATATTTCACAAGTTAAATGTATCAAAGTTTCACCCTTTTCCCAACTTTGTGGTGCCCCCTTTGGCCCTGGTGCCCTAAGCACGTGCTCAGTCTGCTTAATTTCAATAGAGAGAAGTGCAAAGTCCTACACTTAGGTACAAAAAATCAAAGGAGAGACTCGGCTTGACAGCAGCACCTGTGAAAGGGACCTGGGTGTTCTGGTTGATCACAAGCTAAACACGAGCCTGCAGTGTGATGTGGCTGCGAAGAAAGCTAATGCAATCTTAGGATGCATCAACAGAAGCCTTGTGTCCAGATCACGGGAGGTGGTCATTCCGCTCTATTCTGCTCTGGTCAGGCCTCACCTGGAGTCCTGTGTCCAGTTTTGGGCACCACAGTTTAGGAAGGATGTTGACAAGCTCGAGCGTGTCCAGAAGAGGGCGACCAGGATGGTGAGAGGGTTGGAATCCAAGTCTTAGGAGGAAAGGCTGAAAGAGTTGGGTCTGTTTAGCCTGGGAAGGAGAAGGCTTAGAGGGGACATGATTGCAGTCTTCAAATATCTGAAGGGCTGTCATGTAGAAGATGGAGCAGATCTATTCTCTCTTGCTCCGGATTGCAAGACTAGTTCTAATGGGTGGAAATGACAAGGGAGTCGCTACCGGCTAAATATCAGGAGAAACTTCCTAACTGTAAGAGTGGTGGCTGAGCAGTGGAACAGTCTGCCTCGGGAGAGGTGGTGGAGGCTCCTTCGCTGGACGTTTCCAAGCGGAGGCTGGACGACCATCTCTCGGGTATGTTGTAGGGCTCTCTTTCGGCTCTGCTCCTGCAGAGTGCAGGGGGTTCGACTAGATGACCTGCAAGATCCCTTCCAACTCGTAACATTCTATGATTCGAATGGTTAATCCGCTCCTGCCCACTCCCAGTGATAGGCTATTTACATAACACTACGGCTTGATTGCTACAGATTCTGTGATCTCGGGATTATGGGAAGATAATAGTGAAACGATCTTATAGTCATCAGATTGCCCTACTTGACTCTGATAAAGAGGTTCTAGAAAAACAGCACGGATATCACAGTAAAAAGAACAATACAGGAGAATGTGTTCGATACTTTCAATCTCTCCCAAGCCACCTAGATGAGTATGGGATTCTCTTGAACGTCCCGTACAATACAGCAGAGGGGAGAACATTTTGTCAGAGAAGCAAAATACTCAGGCAGAACTGTTTGAGGGCACCCCCCACCTCAGAGGTGAGCACCTACCAGAGGCAAGGCTTCTAAGTCCCTGCATTTCAATATCAACAAGTCTCTGAGAGCCAGTTTGGTGTAGTGGTTAAGTGCGCGGACTCTAATCTGGGAGAACCGGGTTTGATTCCCCACTCCTCCGCTTGCACCTGGCTGGATGACCTTGGGCAAGCCGTAGTTCTGATAAGAGCTGTTCTTGAAAAAGAGTTCTTGAAAAGGGGTGTAAATCCAATCTCATCCTCCTCCTCCTCTTCTTCTAAGAGAAGCCCATGTTGGATCAGGCCAATGGCCCATCCAGTCCAACACTCTGTCACACTGTGGCCAAAAATACCAAGTGCCTTCAGGAGGTCCAGCAGTGGGGCCGGGACACTAGAAGCCCTCCCACTGTTGCCCCCCAAGCACCAAAAACACAGAGCATCACTCGCCCTAGACCGAGAGTTCCTATAAGAACCTAAGAGAGAACCTAAGAGAGCCAGTTTGGTGTAGTTGTTAAGTGCACGAACTCTAATCTGGGACTACCGGGTTTGATTCCCCACTCCTCCGCTTGCACCTGGCTGGATGACCTTGGGCAAGCCGAAGTTCTGATAAGGGCTGTTCTTGAAAAAGAGCAATTTGTCAGAGCTCTCTCAGCCCCACCTACCTCACAGGGTGTCCGTTGTGGGGAGTGGAAGAAGGAAAAGGAGTTTGTAAACCGCTCTGAGACACCTTTGGGTAGTGAAGGGTGGGGTATAAATCCAATCTCTCCTCTCTCTCTTTCTCTCTCTCTCTCTCTTCTCTGCTTAATCAGAACAAATTCACTCCTCTCTGGAAGATACACTATGCCATCAAATAACCTGATAAGCTATTGTTCTTGTGCTCCAAGCTCAGCCAGTCTCTGGTGTGACATACCTCGAATGGTTCAGTCCCAGTATATAACAAGAACATAAGAGAGGCCATGTCAGATCAGGCCAGTGGCCCATCCACAGTAACCGAAACCCAGGTGTCATCAGGAGGTCCACTAGCAAGGCCAGAACTCCAGAAGCCCTCCCACTGTGGCCCCCCCAAGCACCAAGAAGACAGAGCATCACTGCCCTAGACATAAGAACATAAGAGAGAAGCCATGTTGGATCATGCCAATGGCCCATCCAGTCCAACACTCTGTGTCACACAGTGGCCAAAATCCAGGGGCCATCAGGAGGTCCACCAGTGGGGCCAGAACTCCAGAGGCCCTCCCACTGTTGCCCCCCAAGCACCAAGAAGACAGAGCATCACTGCCCTAGACATAAGAACATAAGAGAGAAGCCATGTTGGATCATGCCAATGGCCCATCCAGTCCAACACTCTGTGTCACACAGTGGCCAAAATCCAGGGGCCATCAGGAGGTCCACCAGTGGGGCCAGAACTCCAGAGGCCCTCCCACTGTTGCCCCCCAAGCACCAAGAAGACAGAGCATCACTGCCCTAGACATAAGAACATAAGAGAGAAGCCATGTTGGATCATGCCAATGGCCCATCCAGTCCAACACTCTGTGTCACACAGTGGCCAAAATCCAGGGGCCATCAGGAGGTCCACCAGTGGGGCCAGAACTCCAGAGGCCCTCCCACTGTTGCCCCCCAAGCACCAAGAAGACAGAGCATCACTGCCCTAGACATAAGAACATAAGAGAGAAGCCATGTTGGATCATGCCAATGGCCCATCCAGTCCAACACTCTGTGTCACACAGTGGCCAAAATCCAGGGGCCATCAGGAGGTCCACCAGTGGGGCCAGAACTCCAGAGGCCCTCCCACTGTTGCCCCCCAAGCACCAAGAAGACAGAGCATCACTGCCCTAGACATAAGAACATAAGAGAGAAGCCATGTTGGATCATGCCAATGGCCCATCCAGTCCAACACTCTGTGTCACACAGTGGCCAAAATCCAGGGGCCATCAGGAGGTCCACCAGTGGGGCCAGAACTCCAGAGGCCCTCCCACTGTTGCCCCCCAAGCACCAAGAAGACAGAGCATCACTGCCCTAGACATAAGAACATAAGAGAGAAGCCATGTTGGATCATGCCAATGGCCCATCCAGTCCAACACTCTGTGTCACACAGTGGCCAAAATCCAGGGGCCATCAGGAGGTCCACCAGTGGGGCCAGAACTCCAGAGGCCCTCCCACTGTTGCCCCCCAAGCACCAAGAAGACAGAGCATCACTGCCCTAGACATAAGAACATAAGAGAGAAGCCATGTTGGATCATGCCAATGGCCCATCCAGTCCAACACTCTGTGTCACACAGTGGCCAAAATCCAGGGGCCATCAGGAGGTCCACCAGTGGGGCCAGAACTCCAGAGGCCCTCCCACTGTTGCCCCCCAAGCACCAAGAAGACAGAGCATCCCTTGCCCCAGACAGAGTGTTCCATCTAGAGACTCTTGTGGCATGCCACTTTGCCACTGATATTGGGTCCGTGGGGCGGGGTGTGTGGAAGAGAGACACACTCATTCCCTTCCCTGCAGTATAAAGTTCGGAGCCCAGAATTTTCTCAAATACCGTTTTCACCAAGGGTGATTTCCCACAAGCGCTGCTCCGCACTCACTCTCCTCTTTGGCCCGATGGTGTGTGTCAATTGCACACAAGCTGCTGCGCCACCGCATTTTGCCCCGCGATTTTCCCCAGCGTCTACTCAATCCTGTTTTTTTTAGGACTGAGTAGACGCGGGGGAAATCGCATGAAGCTGCGGGGCAAAATGTGGGCGCGCAGCAGCTTGTGTGCAATTGACATGTACCATCGGGGGAAAAGGGAGGAGTGGGCGCGGAGCAGCGCTTGTGGGAAATCACCCCAATACTTATTCAGTATGTCAGATTTGCTACAAGGCAGCTTTCAGGGAAACCCCTCCCTTTTTGAAGAAATGAGCACATGAAGCTGCCTTATACTGAATTGGTCCCTCAAGGTCTGGATTCTCTACTTAGACTGGCAGTGGCTCTCCAGGCTCTTTCATGTCTACTCCTGCCTGGTCCTTTTCCCGGGAGA